GTGGTCTGTAAGAACACCCACCTCATCAGCTCATACTCTCCATCCGGAGGAATAAAGGAAATCGCGTGCTCAGTGTCGAACTTTGTAAGTTTTACACACTGGTGAAACTGGCAGTCGTCAATCGCCACTGATGCACGTGTGCTGAAGAATGGCATTTTTACAGGCTCGAATTGCGAAGCTAATCGTAAATTTGTGTTGAAAAGGCAAAACAGTTGAAATTCAGAGGCAGACATTAAACACTAACATACACTGCGACGCATAATTATAGTTCCACCTACAAATTTCCCAAAAACTTGAATCTGGGGATGTTTTTGGAAAAGGCTCTACAGATAAATTGTGACACATATAAACGCGAATCTGAATATTAACACGGAAATCCAGTTTGAGAAAGCAACAATTTTTTATCCTTATTTTTTCGAAAATATCCGCTTTAGCTTCTCCGCTGCATTTTGCTTTTACCCAATCAAAATTTGGAATTATTATCCATTCAAGTTCCTTAGCTTATAGCAAAGGCAAAACCGCTGTCACACTTCCGTAAAAGGGAAATCCTAGCAAAAGAGACGCAGGAATTGTCAAAGTGTCAGCTCCGCTGGAATTTGTCGGGGTGACTTCATAACGAACAAATTTCTCAAGGATGCTACAGGATATGACTGGGAGGAACCCTGATTACTATCCGACTGAGATAAGCGCCGTATCGTGAGAAAATGATATTCCAGCCGGGTACTGAGATTGTAGGTGGAACTATAATTATGCGTCGCAGTGTAGAACAGTATGTGCACCAGTATTCTTGCCCCACGCTACTTCATTTGCGACGAGTCAACTATGCAAAACAACACAAGTTGCCAACGTTGGAAATACTCAATTTCTGACCTAGCGCGGTCAACAATTTTAAAAGTTGCCTCGTATTCACAGAGCAAATACAAAATCAAGTTGAGAACACGACATGCTGCATAATACATAAGTACATAATAATGCATTCTGAGTCTTTGACGTTTCCACGCCCTCCTATCAATACACCTTATCAAACACCTACTGAGTACTATGACTCATTCAGCAGAGTGCGCGGTTCAGCTACAAGAGAACCTCCCTTTTCCGCTATTACGCCTCGCGAAATTTTTCTGGCTGCTAGAACTACCAGGGTCGCACTATCGATTAGTGGTTAGAGATACTGGGTAACGATTTATTCATTTTTTTTTTTTTTTATTATTTTTGCCGCAGCGATGCAAAAAAAAAACGGAACGTCGAGCTTTCTGCCTAAAGCCATCCATAAGCCCTGGATGAGCCCACCAGCAATAATAGCATATAAATAAAGTGTATAAGGGAAACTTCACTTTCAGTTCCCATTTGACTTCATTTTTACCCCCCCCCCTCCTCAAGTCTTCTGCGTTTATTTCATTAGCGTGTTCATGTGAGCAAAAAGCAAATGAACAGATAAGCGAACTCACCCCTTGTTCGTTTCATCACTGGTCCCTTTTCCTTTGCCATCGATTGTGATCTTATCGTTTATACCAAATTTACATTCAGGCATTCCACTCAGATAGGACTTCATCGCCACTTTTCCCGCAACATGTGCCGAAAGCACTTGACCTTAACATTACCCAAAGAAAAATTTGAGCTAGTGAAGTAACAGTAAGTAGCAACAAACTTCAATATTAGGCCGATGTCAGACTTTGCGAATCGCGCGATTCGCTAGCGTCTGCGGTCGCGTCGCGGCCAGTGAATCACTCAATTGGCTGGTACCGCAACGCGACCGCGGACGCTAGCGAATCGCGCGAATCGCTAGTAGCGAATCGCGCGATTCGCAAAGTCTGACATCGGCCTATCAAGGAAAACAAAATAAGCATTGGGTGTGGTTCGCTAGGGCAGAATGCGCATTTCCGCTTTTTGTAGCGTGAAACTTTTTTAGCTGCGCGAACCACGGGTCTC